CTCCCAAATACTTGTGGAGGGAACAACCTGCTCACACACACCAGAGTCTGACATGTGCCTGTCCACGGGCAGCACGGAGAAACTGGGATGCCCTGTGGGATTATTTTGCAGGGGACAAAGGAAGAGGGAATCTTTGTTCTTCATCTGAAGGGAGTGCTACACTTAAGGCTGCCCTTCAATTTCTGAGGCTTGCGAGCCAGCAGGTCCTCAGGGGTGAGAGCTGCTATATTCTCCTGAAATAGGAAATAAAGTGGAAAAGAAAAGGCCCTCTCCACAACCCACCCCCCCCCCCCCCCCCCCCAATCTACATAGTACTGTCAAAAGGGACGAATTGTTTTTAGCTATGTGTGCCACTCAAACGCTACTCATGTTCCTGTACTTTTCTTGGCTCTGGTATTGAAAAAATGTCTCTGAAAAAAACCCATAATCAATATATGCTCTTGGGCTTCTCTTGGGGCTGTTGCTGGAATTCAAGGAGAGGATGTATAGCACTTTCAAAGGCACTTTCTTATATTCTGACCTCTCAGCATAAAAGGTAACAAACCCAACTACAGAGATTCAGATCTAGTGGACCCTGGCTTCATTCCAGTACCTCTCAGGCTGCTCAAATTGCAAACACAAAATAACATGTTTTTCTCCCCTTAAGGGCAAATAAGACAAAGCTGACCCAATTCAGCAGGGGTCCAGAGGTATTTATATTGAATCATTCCAAATCACATTCAGAGAGGGACCATGAATATTCATTTTTGTGTGCATGCACAATTTTAAATTGGCATTGCTTTAAAGTTAGTGAAACATGTTCTTGGTTTAATTGAACATAATCTATTCCCTAATGAAATAAGTATGCTATCTGAGGTTGAATAAGGCTTGTTGACAATATTTTAAAAAAAAAAAAAAAAAAAAAAAAAGGGTACAAACATACTTAAGGACAAAAATTATTCAAGCAAGGAGTGTACCTATTGGTTATTTTCAAAAAGACTTGAAAACATTTGCAGTATTTGCTCCCTGTACCTTGCTGGCAGTTCATGCAGGGCCAGTGCTTACAGATGGACAACCTGAGAGCAGCATGAAATATTCACTCATGCCAGAACTGAGCAAAGCTTTTCGACTTCCATTTGCCAAAGGAAATACTTTCAAATACTGAATGCAGATATGAAAAAGATGTAGTGATGAAAAATAAACTTCTATCTGCAACAATACCATCTAACTGAAAGGTTTTTTTTTCCTTTTCCTTCTTTAGAGAAGAAATCACTGCCAATGCTAATAACTGTAGCTTGTACCATTAAAAAGACAGCCCCCTCCTTACTTCTTTTCTTATTGTCTAGGTATTTCTCTTAGATACTTATTTCAACACAAAATACACTGCTGTTTGGTACTTACATCTGAATGTAATGAAGTGTCTGAGCTTTAAGAATCATCATGGAACATTTTTAAAAAGAGTGTGAATTTTCCTGCTTAAACAAACACCCTCAGACAAAAAGATGTAAACTTACTGCCCAAACTGCCAGAAATTATGAGACTATGTTTTTAATAAAAAATTACAAAACATTTGGTAGGATAAACTAGCTAGGATGCAATCTGAAAAGATGAAAACAGTGTAAACGCAATATTTTAAGAGGAGTCCAGCGAGAGAATAACCGTAAGAGAACTGTGCCTTAGTCTCTCAAGAGTCAGATTTGATGGTTGCACCTAATGGAACAAAGCTCAGTACAAATTCCCCGGGGAACCACAGGTTTAAGGGAACATGGATGGAACAGAGACAGGGGTGGAGAGAGAGCACAAATGTGCACTTGATCAGGCGTGTGGAATAGGTTCAGAGCGGGTTCATCATCTCAGCCAAAAGCATCAAACACTGGGGTAAGAAATCCCAATGATACATCTAAAAATAATTCAATCCCACTGAGAATTCTATTAATCTCATTTGGAAGTTAAGCAACTCATCTCTCTCACTCTGCCAAGAAGAAATCGCCACAGGAGAAGTGATAAACTCAGCAGGCTTTCGTAACTTCCCTCCATAGCTGCACAGGGAAGGTATAGAAACTCTGGCCCCTAAGTATTTTAAACTCAGGGATTGTTGTCGTCCAGGGCAGCTTTGGCTTTGGGAAATGCTCACTCTGTACCAAAGATGACAACTGTCTGTCTGTCCTTAATCTCAGTAGAGCAGCACATGAACCACCCAACAAATTCGAAGACAGCCCAAGTATGAACTACTCAAGTCTTTAACTATTGCTCCCTATAGACGCACTGATTCTTCACTTTGGAGAAAACAGCCCATGCATAATAAATAACGAT